AACTCAGCGCAACACTGAGCTGCAGCAGAAGACAACGGTTTGTACAAAGTGACCTGGATCTGAGAAGAATGCCCTGACACCCCAGAATTCAGGTACCTTTTAAACGAGAAATTAAGTCTACTACATACTACAAAACAGCCAAGGAGACAAGGGAAAGGCTGAGTCCAATCCTTGTTCTGGACAACGTTTCTCCTCTGTCTAACTTGGTGGCAATAYCTGATTTCAACAGGTACTTACACAAATGCACAAAGGAATGAGGTAGGAAAAAAAAAGCATGCAGAGCAGAAGTTATACATAAAAAGGTAACGTGGTTCCTTCCTCTGATCAGCACTGGCTCCTGACCCCAAAGCAACTACTCAAGAGTTCATTCCTGTCACTGGCCAGGAGAACAATGTCCTTTGAAGCAAAAATATTTTGTTTCTTGAGCATCACCAAAGGAACCAAGTGGCTGAGTTAACTCCAYCTGAATGTTTGCGAGGATCTGCTCTCTGAGTATGCCCAAGAGCATCAGCATGCTGCAAATCAAGAGTGGGGGAAAACATCTGGGGTCTGCCCCTGCCTGGCTCATGAGGGGTCAGGTGAAACTCAACCTATAGAAACCAAGCCACAAATCAATGTTTACCATTACTTTCCACTGCATATACTATGTTATTAGAGAGAAGGTTTAAGGAGCTAAACAGAAAAGTGATGTAATAAGTAGAATTCCTAAAATCCAGGAGATGCTCTGTTTATCAGCTGCCACACCTTGAATGCATCCAAGTTATTTTATTTTAAAGCAAAAATAYCCTAAAGGCCAAACTCAAAAAGATATCTCAAAGATGTTGTAGGGCTTTTTTGAGATGTAAAAATATACCTTAAGACAACTGCAATTAAACAAAGCACAGCCCAATGTCATCTTTGCAAAAAAAAAAAAAAAAGAAAGAAAGAAAGAAAAGGAACAAAGCAACTTGCCTCCCCCCACATGAAAAACCTTCTGAGTTGTTAACTTTGTGGTCAACTTGGTTAGCCAGATCTCAGTCATTTCTATCCCTCAACTAGCACTGGTGAGATATTAACTGCTTCCCAGAGGACTCCAGGAATTCCATCAAGCCATGCCTACTGCAAACAGAAAAAAGTGAAGTACACCAAAGGGCAGCCCTAAGATGCTAGTATAAATGAGGGTGGTGAAAGTGCACAGGTGACAGTAAGAGTGTCCCTGTGCTCAGCTCTGGGTGTGCAAACATAACCCCGTYCCTCCAGCATCTCAGCCCTCACGAGCTGCCACTCTGCAGGCAAGGAATTCCTCCAGATCAGCTGTGAGCAAAGAGCTCCACTTCATGGCATCCAACAGAAAATGCCAAAACCAGGCTGGAAAAATACCAGAAAAATTGTATTTTCATGTGTGTTTCAATAAACTCTGCTACSGTCAGTGATGGAAAAGGAAAACAACTGCTCTTTATATAGGCAAAAMCAGAAAGCTGTTCACCTACCCTACAGCTGACAACCTGCCTGGAGGAGCCAGAACTGTCCCTTCAAAAATCAATAAAGGYCCTCTTGCTACAAAGGACCCGGGGAATTCTCCTGCCGGCACAAGGATGCTGCTAACGAGTGATACAAAACTGGAGGAGAGGAACGCTGCAGCTCRTAGTAACACACCCCCATCATGTTCTGTCAGTAGGTGGGTTTTTGTCACACTCCCACTCCGGCTGCCTTAGAAAGGCTTTAAAAAAAATAAAGGCAGCGAAAAAGCAACTACAAGGAAAAATATTTAAAAAATAAAATTAAATTTAAAAAGGTGAGCCAGCGCTCCGAACGGCCTCGCACCGGGCCCGCCGCCCCATGCTCCGCCCGGGCATCCACGGCGGCGAGAGGGAGGAAGAGGAGGAGGAGGAGGAGGAGGAGGAGGAGGAGGAGGAGGAAGAGGAGGAGGAGGAGGGCCGGAGCGCGGCACCCACCGGCAGCCCAGCCCCCTCCAGCCCCCGCCGAGCATCCTCCGCACCGGGGAGCACCGGGACTCCCCCGGCCCCATCCATCCATCCATCCATCCATCCATCCATCCATCC